GACATTTGCAGTGCATAATGAATGTCAGCCAGAGGGCATCACAGGATTTGTCGCATATTTCTCTTTAGATTTTTTTTCAGTTCAACATAGTTCATTGAAATTTTCCATTTTTTTTTTTTTTAATTTCCAAAGGGAATTAAAGATGAATTTCAAAAAATTGGTAATATTTAGAGAAGTTTCATTATTTTCTGGGGTTACAATTTAACTATTCTCTTAAATTCTCTTAAAATTTTATTGTTTACGAAGAACTACCCTCCTTCGGAAACTGTTATTTGTTTATCATCAAATTTAAAAATACATGCAAAGAACCATCTTTCTAACATTTTTTGTTACGAATAATGGCCATGAAACCGGATATTGATAAATTTTACAACATTTAGCCTGAGGATATACATCGATACTATCCATTTCCCCACTCCATTTATTACTTTAAAGAGGCAAGTTAAAAAGATTATTTTTAGCTTCTTTGCATATTATTCCCCTTCCTAACAATAGCCTAAAGGGAAATATACAATTTCCTTTGACTAGTATCACACGTTTATCAAACGGCACTCGTGCATCTTTTGGATAAATAGAAAATTCAGTAGTTCGTCGTCGGCAGACATGTTTATAAGTAGAAAATCATGTCATTTTTTAACATTTAATCGGCTTAAAATAAAATCAACATTTTTGTTTGGATATTGGAAGATAAGTGAAGACGATGACTGACTTATAGTCACTGTGAACTGATAAATTGAGTGGTGTTTCCACCACATTCGTTTTTGGGAATGAAAGGCATTGTAGAGTAAATGAAAATAACCCGAAAGACAGTTTCGCAGTGAGTCGAAATTCCGAGCTGAAGCTAGATGAATACCTTGCTTTTGACCCCGAAAGTACGTTATGAAATCGCCTTATATATCGATTTAAAGCTTATCAAACGTACGCAAATGTCCTATAACAAGTTAAAAAGTATCCGTCGGTTTTGCCGACATATTGATACCCTCAGCCTTTATCCGTTTATTGATGTATATTTTTACATATTTTATTATCTCTGATTTATTTCGCATATATAAGGGTTATTCATAATGTTAAAAAGTGGGGAAGTTCCAGGGGGATTGGGTCCCCTTGTTGGTAAAAATATTATAATATACAAGGTTTGAAGAAAATCCTTGACATATTTCGCATGTTATGAGAGTTATAATTATTCAAAAATTGTACCCTTTGTGGCAGAGGTACCAGAAAGAGAGGTCCGATATATTATATCTTCATAGTAGATCTTGTGTAGTATTAGGTTGTTTCAAGTTGCCTCATGTTTGTTTATTCAAAATATTGATTCGTTATAGGGAAGGTATCAGAAGGAAAAGTTCGTTCTATCCATTCCTAATACCTGATCTTTTTGTTGGTAGAAATATTGCGATGTGCGAAATTTGAAGACAATAGGTCTCTTATTTTACATTTCATAATAATTATTATTATTCGAAATGTTGACCCTTTGTGGGGAAGGTATTAGAAGGAGTGGGCCGATATTTCCCATCATATTTAAAATTTTGATCTTTGTGGAGCAGGTACCAGAATATTGGAGGCGGTATATCCCATTTTCACACTACATCTTGTAGTGGTTAAAATGTTTATATGTGCGAAATTTAAAGGGAATCTGATGTATATTTCGCATTTTATGAGCGTTTCATTTATATAATTTTGACCCTTTCAAAGGAGTAGTCCGATATATCCCATCTTCACATGAGATATTGTTTTGATAGAATTATTGGTATGGGTGAAATTTGAATCTGCAGCATATTTTGTAGATTATGAGCGTTTTAGATATTACAAATTGGGCCCTTTGTGGAAGAGGTACTAGAAGGAGTAGTCCGATATTAGCCATTCTCGCACCCGATATGGGGGTAATGTAAATATCATGATTTGAACAAAATCCGTTCTATTCATATGCGGTAAATTATTATCAATGAAATTGTTGACCTTTTGTGGGGGAGTTCGCAGCAGCTAGAAAGACAGATGGACGGACATCGCTAAATCGACTCCAAATGTCCTGAAACGGATTTGGACCAAAGAGACCAAGGACCTTAAACTGTTATTTCGACTAGGCACATTTTGGACGTATCAAATTATATATACCCTCTGCCATATGGCAGATGGTACAAAAATGTAGTTTATAAAATTATAGCTTTGGTTCTCACATACATATTAGTCGATTTTGCCGACAGATGTTCACCGTCAGCCAATATCCGGTAATTTAAATATGTTTGACTTGCATTATGATTATTCGAAATTTTAACCCATTATTAGTGGTGGTTGCGAAGGAATCGGCCAATGTTGTCCAATTTCGTATCTGCCCTATGGCTTTTATAAATACTACAACATGTCAGATATGTACTATATCGGGTACTTCCTTCAAGTAATAATTTTTGGAAAAATATACATTGGATGACCGAAGTATTCTACTTCGCCTAATACTGACCTGCACAGACAAATTTCTGTTATAGGCTGTAGTATTCATTACGAACTTCAAACACCAAATTTGAAACAATTTCAGTGAATAATGTCGCTAAAATCATCAAAATGCCGAATATCGGGGCTATAAGAAAACGTGGACCTGCACAGACAATTTTCTGTCACAGGTTGTAGTACCCATTACTAACTTTAAATACCAAATGTGAAATAATTCCGGTGAATATTTTCACTTAAATCACCAAATACCGAAAAGTGGAGATACCATTACATGGGGGCTATACCAAAACGTGGATCTACATAACTCATTTTCAATACCAAAAGTTCTGCAGAGATAATACATATTTGAGTAACACTTTATCAACCTACTTCATTTCGTTCGGAAGCTAAAAATATTTCCACAGACGGATAAACGGACGGACATCGATAAATATAATTGTTTAAAATTTTGACACATAGTACGGGGGGTGAGGGGTGGATGTGTACCAGACGGAGTAGTCCCATATTGTCATTCTTTACAACACATCTAGTGTTGATATAAGTATTGGGCTGTGCCGTGTTTGAAAGTAATCGGACGCTCATTTCGCGTTTTGTGTGCTTAATGGTTTTTCCAAATTCTGACTCTTTTGGGGGGTACTAGAAGGAGTTGTCTGACAATCACACCCAATCTTGCTTACGTAGAAATACTAGGATATATGAAATTTCAACAGAATCGGAGTTATCAGAAGGAGTGGACCGATATTTCCCATTTTCGAACTCGATCTAAGTTTAACAATAGTATTACGATGTTCCAAGTTTGGACCAAATCAGATACTTCCTTCGAGAGTTATCGTACTCATCAGCCAGACAGACAGGCGGGCGGTCATCGCTAGATCGATCCCGAATGTCCTAAAACGGATTTGGTCTAAAGAGACCTAGAGTCTAAAACCGTTATTTCGATGAGGCACGTCTTGCCGAAGGGTATACCTAGCCATGTGACTGAGAGTATAAAAAAGAGCTCTGGTTGAGAGATATCAATATTAAAAAATGTGATCCTTTGTTGAAGATGTACCAGAAGGGGTGAGCCGATATATATTATCTTTTCACCAGATCTTGTGTTAATCAAAATATTGAGATGTGCGAAATTTGAAGAGAATCGGTTGCTTAATTCGTATTCTATGAGATGTATAATTACATTGTTAAACAAATCCCAAAAAAACTTCTTCTTCTAATGATCCAATTCTGTTGTGTGGTTATCCACAGCCTTTACTAACTTTTGGGCTAATTTTTAAAAATTCCAGGTCCATTATTAGTATTAGTTTTCAAATGATACCTACATTGTCGATAAAAATAAAAGTACTTTCTCGGTATCAGGGTGCAAAAATCCGAGAGTTTCCACTAAACTAGAGTTGTTCCGTTAGGGGCTTCAATTAATGTCATTGATTTTAGGTCATTTTTAGAAAAAGAAGAAAAAAGTTAAAACACAAACTACTAGGGGTTTTCTATAAAAGACCACCAAGAGATACACGGTATATAAAGGATCTTCTGCCTAAAGAAAACCTGTGGAAGATCTTGAGTTTATAGATAATTGTAAAAGGTCTAGTCTCTATAATATACATTCAAAACATTTCCTGCTTATAGAAGACCTTCAAAAGGTGTTCTGTCCGTCCGATATTCCTGTGTATTGAATATTGAGATACACGAAGTTTGAAAATATCGCTGATCCGTTTTGAATAGTATTCGTTGGAGAAGCCGATAAAAGACCATTGTCCTGCGAGAATCTGCTGCAAACAGTGTCTATATATGTATGAATGACTTTTCGAAAATACTAAGAAATATTTGATAAAAAAAACCCTCCAAAAATTTTCTTTTATCTAAAGCAAAAGTGTTCATTCCAAAAAAATTGTATTCAAACAACAGCTGCATGTGTCTAGCTATAGCTCACGATTTTTTTCTGGCAATAATTAAAATTAATCTAAACCCCCTAAATACACACAAAAAATATAAGCCGAAATCAAAAATGATAATTAGATATTTCCATTTACTGCCAAAATTTTTCAAACATTTTCCCGTCCTTTCTTATTATCTTTAGGAAGCAGGAAGTGGCTTTGTTCTCGTTTTTTTTTTCGTTGACTGATTCCAAATGTTTGTCAAATCCCATTTGTTTGGCATCTCACGTGCAAAGATGCTTTAAAATTTTTTGGCAAGCCAAATTGTCTTTATTATCTTCAACATCAGCTCTTGGAAAATGGCCACGCGGCAAAATATTCATCTTGCGTAGCAAGTAGAACATTGAAATTATGTTAATGTGCATAGAGCGAGAGATAATGAAGCCGCCAAATATATGGCGGTAATGCTGGGATACACCTAAGCAAATACGCCACACAAGACCGGTGCCAAGCGAGCTCAGACATATTTAGATGAATAATCAGCCATTGACTTCCATGGCTGGCGGTAATCGTTTGGGCATACCACCGCATGAACATATCACTGCACGCTCGAAGGGATGCAAAGGGAAAAGTATAGAGGACCGACCGAGCAACCGGCTGTACAATAATAACATAAGCATTAATTACCTGACAAGTTGCCTTCTGTTGCATGTCTATAGCTCCTTAGTCCCATTAACTTGAGTGCCTCTGAGCATTGTTTGCGCCTTGTTGGATATTCACTGTCGGATAACTCATGCCGCACATCTGAATTGCAAATTAAAACCACCAGATCCTTTTCGCCGGCAACAAATGGAATTTGGAATGTTTCCAACGAGCTACAATGACAAAAACAAAACAAACAAATATTCAAACACATACACAAGTACACATACACACACGATCATAATCATACATGCAAATACAGCGACATAAAAAGACAAAGGACACTTCATATGCACACTCCAAACTCAAACGCACACACAGACACCTGCATATAAATTCAGTTTCCCTCGGTGTTTGGGTGCATGCATTGTTGGGCTACAGGATATAAACAATAGGAAAAAAGGACAAAGTTTGAAAACGTATTTGAAATGTAATAGGAAAATTCAATTTCTCTTATGTTGGAAAATTTATACAAATTCTCACAGGTTATAATAAAAACAATGTTTGGGTTTTGGCTGTCTATTCGAAAATGAAAAAAAAAACGAAAAGGGATTTTAACAGGCTAGGGAAAAGGAATAAGTTTAACATTGTTCGCTTTGTATGGGTTACCTACCGGGAGAATGTATTTGTAATTTATAAGTGGAATATAACGGTACAGCAGAACATATTAGAGGGCTGAATGTTTTTAAATGAAAAAATTCAAATATAGATATGATCACGATAAATATTTCTAAAGACAAATTCGGAAAACATTATAGAGACGGACTCGATTTTTAATTCATACCTTACATTGTTATAGATTTCTTTTGATAGTAGAGTAATTCTTTAATATCGTCCATGAGCAAGAAACTTATCGAATGTTCCTTTTACGGGTGAGATAAAAAACTGCAACAAAGTCAAACGCCATAATTTTTACATTTTTTTCTACCCTCCACCATTCTACGGAGGGTATATCAACTTTGTCATTCCGTTTGTAACACCTCGAAATATTTGCAATTGACCCCACAAAATATATATATTCTGCATCAGCGTAAAATTCTAAGACGTAAAAATCTGCGTAAAATTCTAGCGATGTTCGTCTGTCTGTTGTAATCACGCTATATTTCGAACGAATTGAGATAGAAGGCTTAAATTTGGCATACATGCATATTTTTCCAGTAGGGTACTACGTGATGGGTACTACAACCTATGACATTTTTTTATGTAGGTCCACGTTTTCGTATAGCTCCCATATAACGGTACCTCCCGATATTCGGTATTTTCATGATTTCAGCGACATTATTCATCAGAATTGTTTCAAATTTCGTATTGGACGATTCTAACGAATACTACAACCTATGGCAGGTCCACGTCTTCGTATAGCCCCAATATAACGGTATCTCCCGATATTCGGTATTTTGATGTTATTATCGACATAATTCTCCGGAATTGTTTGAAAAATTTGGTATTTGAAGTTCGAATAGGTACTACAGCCTTTGCCAAAAAAATCGTAAGCAGATCCTCGTCTTCGTATAGTCTCCATACTCCAAATGGTGGAGGGTATTAAAAGTTCGGCCCGGCAGAACTTAACTGCTTTTTACTTGTTTAAATTTTATTGAATGAAAGCAAAAAATGCCAGTGTAACCGTCACATGCTGCCCGAATATTGCTCTACGGTATTCGACATTTTGGTATTTTTTAGTGCCAACCTTGCTTTCCAAAATACTCCAGACAGAATAGTCCAACGGATGGGTATTCGGAGATTTTGGTGGCCATTGTGCGCTGGAAATGAAGCCAGGAACCTCGTTTTGTAACGATTCTTGGGTAGCGCGTGGTGAGTGCAATGGTGCTGAGTCCTGTTGGAATGTTAAAGGTCTGCGGCCAAAATGTTTGCGTGCCCAAGGCTTAAGTACACCCTCCAGAATATTTTCGGGATAATATTCGCAATTTATTCTGATGCCACATTCGATTAATACGAGAGAGAGCGATCATCGGCTGTTATGACGGCCCACACCATCACCATGGCCGGCGCTTGAGTTCTGTTGGCAAACCGACGGTGCACATTTTTAACTAATTCGTTCGAAAGATAGCGTGATTACAACATGCAGACTGATATGGCTAAATCGACTTAGAATTTTATGCTGATCGAAAACATAAAAACTTTGTTGGGTCTCACATGAGCATTTCGAGGAGTTACAAGCGAGTTACCAACTGTTGGAACAAATCTAAAATTGTAATGTTGACTTTTCGCCGTCAAAGTAGGGGGCACTTGTTAACTTCTAAAACATTTCTTAAAAAGTTCACAATGTAAAGATTTTTTTAATTCACGTTTTTAAAAGTTCTCTTAAAAAATCAAAGATTTCAAAAATATTCTTTTAATACACTATTGAAAAAAATTAAAAATGATAGTTTTAAAAAAAATTATTTTTTATTTCAAAATATATAGCTATGATTAAAAATGTTATCAAACTGAATAACTTATTCATTTTGAATACTAAAAATGCTTTATACGAACTGTTGTTAGCTAGTCTCTAATATTTCTTTAAAAAGAAGAATATTTCTAAAAAAAATCGACGTTTCTTATTTTTCTCCTAAAAATTGTTGATATTAAATCCACAAATAAAAAATGGGGATTAAAAATTTCTTTTTATTTGTTTTAATTTTTTCTATCAGAAATACTAAACAAGTAAAAAAGCAGTAAGTTCGGCCAGGCCGAACTTTGAATACCCTCCACCATTTGGAACGAATTAGAAAATTTTCGAAAAAAAAAAAATAAAATCCATTAAAAATTCTTCCGATATGGGGGAATATACGATATTGTGGACCTATAAAGACAATCTGCGTGTAAAGTACTCACAACGAACTCTTTGTATGGATTTTCAAAATACCGAATATCGGGGGTATCGTTATATGGGAGCTATACGTTATCGTAAACCTATATAGAGAATTCTCTGTCCGTTGAAACATATGGCTAAAAACATCAAAATACCGAATATCGGGGGTACCGTTATATGAGGGCTATACGATATCGTGGACCTATATAGATAATTCTCTGCCGAGGTATAAAGTACCCACAAGGAACTCCTTGTGTGGATTTTCAGACAGTTCCGATGAAAAATGTGGGTAAAATCATAAAAATACCGCATATCGGGGGTACCGTTATATGGGGGATATACGATATCGTGGACCTATATAGACAATTATCTCTCAGGGGGTAAAGTACTCACAAGGAACTACTTGTGTGGATTTTCAGACAATTCCATTGAAAAATGTGGCTAACATCATCAAAATACCGAATATCGGGGGTACCGTTATATGGGGGCTATACGATATCGTGGACCGATATAGCCCATCTTCGAACTTGACCTGCCTGCAGACAAAAGAGAGATCTGTGCAAAATTTTAGCTTCCTATTTTAATTCGTTTAGACTGTAGCGTGATTACAACAGGCGGACAGACGGACGGACAGAGCTAAATCGTCTTAGAATTTTACGCTGATCAAGAATATATATACATATATATTGTTGGGTCTAAAATGATTATTTCGATGAGTTACAAACGGAATGACGAACTTAATATACCCTCCATACTTTTTTTGGTTGAGGGTATAAAAAATGTTCTTAAAAATTCAACGAGGTTACGATTAGCAAAAACCCACAATACTCATACGTCACCACCCATAGTTGAATTTTCCAAAGTAATACGTTTGAAGGCTACTGTATCTAAGCTAAAAAATTCAAATGAATTCGATGCCTTTAAAATTGCTGGGCCCATAAAATTGCATCATATCTTGCAGTTCAATTCAATATATTCTTACAAATTGAGGCCAATACCGTATTCCAGAAAGTCGCACTGTCATGTGAGGGTAAAATCATTTTTACTGCAAATTTTACAAGGTTCTCAAATATCCTGAGCAAATGGTCATGGAAAATGAATTGTTGGTTAACGGAAGAGGAGGAAGTACGAATAATCTAATATACCATAACGACGGTGTATTTTCTACATTCAACTGAGTCTACACAAAGTCCAGGAATACGGATATAGGTACACTATGTCATTTTAGTTGAACCTATGTTTTTGTGTCGTACGGAATCCTGTTCATCCATTCCTTCATCCATACTCACACATTCATTGACACATTGTGATAAAGGTAAAGAGGAACATTTAAACCATTGTCTGTCGTATAAAGTTTATCCTTCCTCTCCATTACAATAAACTATTATGAAGTCTATATTCTCGCACAGGGCATACAATTGAAATTATTAGCAGTGCTAATATTCCCCTGGAGAATACCATAATTTGTAATGATTAGTGTTTCTTTTGTTTTTGTTGTAACCAACTTCCATTCCATTATTCCATAATTCTTTTGTTCTTTTATTTGAATTTCCTTTCTATTTGAATAATTTTACTTCACCTGTGTTCACATGATAATTTGTTCGTTCAGCGTCCATGTGTTCCCATCTCTATTGCAACCTGTATTGGTATTGGTGACGACGGTGGCGATATTCCACTTGAGTTCATTCTTTCGTGTGTGTGTTTGTCTTGTGGTTTAATTCTTCTAACTTTTTCAAACAAATCCAAATCCTGCCGAATGGAGTTTTGTGAAATTTTGTAAAAAGGTAAATTGTGAAAGTTTTTATTGTACAATTCTAGTTTTTCGTTTGCATATCTTGCGCTAGTCTTTGAGAGAGTGTCTGTGTGTGAATGTGTGTCAGTCTATGTAAATCGCATATCCTTTTTTTGGTGTGGATTCTTTTTCCCCTGTTGTGGTTGATTGGCCTACACAGAATTAAAGTTGGTTTGTAGTTTTAATTCCATGTCATTCAATAGCTGAACTACAATTACACCGCCAAAAAATGTCAGTTAGCGGAAAGTTTTTTTTTTTGCTTTGTCCACAGCGTAATTTGAATGGCTTTCTTTGGCATTAGCTGTGATTGGCCATAAATCTTTGGCCTAAATGTGAAACGTCGTTTTTTTTTTTTTTTTTTTGAATTTAAATGGTTTCCGACATGACAAGTTAGAAGGTAGCATTCGGTTTTGCCGTCGTATACCCCCAGCCAATATCAGTTTATTAAAATAAATTTTGACTTGAATTATTATTAATATAATGACCCTTTATTGGGTTGGTATTGAAAGAGTGGGCACACGTTTTCCATTTCGAATCTAGCTAAATTCAGATATAAATATTACAACGGT